TGCGGGGGGCGGCCGCTCTGCGTGGGGGGTGGCTGCGGGAGGCTGCCTGGCGTGGATGCTCCGGTCCCTGCTCTGCTCCTGGCTGCCTGCAGCTCTGCCAGGGAGAGGATGGTGTTTGCACTTCGTGTTTCTGTTGTTTTCCCCTGACGCTTCTCCTCTCTGTTTTGCAGCGTAGCTAGCCCCCTCCCGCCGGCAGGGACCGATGCTGCCTCGCCCCAGCAGCCACCATGGAGCTTGCTAATACCAAAGATTTCCAGTGGAAAACCCTCGCCCCGCTCCCGAGCCGCAGGGTCTACTCAACCTTGGTGGAAGCCGGCGGGCAGGTGTTTGCCATCGGGGGCTGCGATGACAACGGGGTCCCCATGGACTGCTTTGAGGTGTACTCCCCCGAGGCCGACCAGTGGACCTCGCTGCCGCCCATGCCCACGGCCCGGGCGGGGGTGGCGGTGGCCACTTTGGGCAAGCGGATCATGGTGATAGGAGGGGTCGGAGTGAATCAGATGCCGCTGAAGATAGTGGAGATGTACAACATAGATGAGGGCAAGTGGAAGAAGAGGAACTCACTGAGAGAGGCAGCCATGGGCATCTCGGTGACGGCAAAAGGCAAGGAGGGTTCAATCCTTCCAGGGCAGGGAGGGGACGTCTGGGGGTGGTGAGACGGGGGGGAGGGTTACCATCAGTTGAGGCACCGGGCACAAAAGCGTTCTGGGCAATAGCACAGGGTTATGTTGTTCTCCAAAACCTTTTCTGTGCTCCTACAAGTTAAGCCCTGTGTATTTGTCGTATCCCACCTGGTAAAGACAACTCTTGTGTAGGTGGCCAAAAGCAGCTGAACGCGGGGTTTGCTCTGCATTGTCAGCCCTGGAGCCATGAGGGCCGTGGCTGTGCTGGTACCCGGGGTTATTTCAGAGCCAGAGGCGAAGGTCTCAGAGTCACAGCGTAGCTCTGGTTTGAGGAGACATCTCTGGTCCAAACCCAGAACCAGCCAGAAGAGCCTCAGCTTCATGGTCATGGGCTCAAATCCTTGTACGAGGAGGGGAAGCGGCTGGCCTGGGGGCGGGGGGGCTCCTGCGTAGCTCCCCTCGGTAAGCTTAACCACTGCCTTAAATAGGGCTTGTTAAATGTCTGTGAGGCTCTGCCTTATCAGCCCATCTCAGTCTTTAATTTCTAAGCAGAGATGTGGAGCACTGATTTCCTTTAGCATACTCTGCTGTGCTTTGAAGAGCCTGGGGCTGGGTGCTGTGTTCCTGAGCAGCGTGCCTGAGGTCAGCCAGCTTCCCGTCGTGCCTGGGATTACGGATCTGATCTCCAGGCAGCTTCTTTGAAAGCTGCTTGGTTTGTTTGCTTAAGTGGGTTTAAAAGCTACTGTCAAGGAATGTTTAAAAATAATGTTTACCATCTTGGAGATGGTGTTCTCTCTGAGTATAAGCTTGCCTGACTGATACGGCAGGGTCAGTTTGGTGTGAGAGGCCAGGAACAGAAATAGCTGCCCAAATCCTTGCAGTGTGCAGTGTCTCTGCTTTTTCAGCTGCCTTGTAGGGCTACCCGCGAGGGCAAGGCTGCTGTCGCTGCTCTCCTGAATCCTCTCTGTGGAGCAAAGTGCTTGTTGAAGGAGATAACGTGGGTGCTGTGCAGGTAGGATTTTGTTCTGGAGAGCCAGGTTTGCCATTAGCCAGAGATGGATATAGCTGATACGGATTTGGGGAGTGAACAGTTCTGGTCCGCGTTGTACAATGGCATGTGTGTTTTTGCAGGAGGGGTGTTTCTGATGCCTTTCCTATAATAATTTTGTGGGATTTTTTTTTTTTTTTGCTTCTTGGCCTTGTCCAGACTACAGAGTCTATGCGGCTGGTGGGATGGGATCTGACCTGCGGCCCCACAACTACCTGCAACACTACGACATGCTCAAGGACATCTGGGTGTCGCTGGCGGCCATGCCCACACCCAGGTACGCTGCCACATCCTTCCTGCGAGGCGCCAAGATCTACGTGCTGGGTAAGAAGCAGTCCTGCCCCCTCCTCCTCGGGCAGCAGCTCCTTTGATCGGAGCACTGAGAAACCTCCCTGGAAGAGGCTTTGGGAAATGCTCCTCTCCATCCCTGCCTGCTTCCTCACACGTTTTAGAAAAACCAAGCTTGCAGCTGTAGGTTTTGAGTGGGGCCGGTGTTGGGTTTGGATTCACAGCTCCATAGCAAGCGCCTGTGAGAGCTCCTGCAGCGTTGAATGCCCCGGGAGCTCGCGGGTCTCGCAGCAGCTCCGTGCTGGGCGAGTGGCCTCCCCTGTCCCAGGCCCATCCGTGGCTGCTGAGGGTACAGCTGGTCTTTGCCCAATTTGCAGTCCTGCAACTGTGATAAAAGCCCTTGGATTCAACTAGCGAGTAAAAATACTTCTATGCATTTTATATTAGCGAGGTACCACGCAGCTTCACAAAGGGTCTGCCTTTGGCGGAGGAGAGACCTGCTGTAGCTGGAAAATGCTGGACGAAGCCTTTTGCGAGGGACAGTTTTCATTAGCCTTCTGTTACAGAAAGGGAAACTAAGGCAGAGAAATGTTGCTGTTAGCTTGTGGCCAAATAGCATATCGGGATCAAAACACAGGAGTTTGCTCAAACCACCAGACAGCCCTGGCTTTCTTTAGGGGTTACCAGAAAAGACTCTTTGATCTATTTTGCAGTTTGCTTGCTGCTGGCGAACAGTTTGTGGGCCCAGTAGCAAGCACAGGCTCTGCCTTCAAAGGCACGCCGAGCATCTGAGCTGAGAATAGCTGTATTCATCTGCATCCGATGGGTGGAAGAATAATACGCATTTTTGGCGGTGGAAGCAGCAGCTGGTCTGGCTCTCCCGCTCCATCAGCGAGGCCAGGGCTTGCTGGCTTGCACTGCCGCTGAACTCATCTGAATTGCAAAGGCTCCGTGAGCGCTGATCCCTGCTCCGCTGTGAATTTGTCTTGATTAGACCGGTGCATACTAAACACCTTCCTGTGCTAGCAACCTGCTGCTGCTGGCGTGCAGGGAAGCAGAAGGTGTGAGGCACTGAAAAATGAAGTGTTTTCATGCCACAGACCTGCAGTTAAAGGAGAGGGAGCGCAAGGGTGAGAAGGTACCTGGCTCAGCAGGCCCTCATGCAGGTGACTTGAGACCTGAGGACGTTGTATCGGCTGGCAGCTTGCTTGCTCTCAGCCTGTCGCAGGAGGCTCCTCTGGTTCTTGCTGCCGTTGGTTTGGTGCTATGAGCCGAGCTGACCCCTCTCTTACCTGCCCCAGGTGGAAGGCAGTCCAAGTACGCTATCAATGCCTTCGAGGTCTTTGACACAGAGACCAGGTCATGGACCAAGTTTCCCAACATCCCCAACAAAAGAGCCTTCTCCAGCTTCGTGCCCACAGAAGACAAGCTCTTCAGTCTCGGGGGTCTGCGGCAGGGACGGCTCTACCGGCAGCCCAAGTTCATGAGGACCGTGGACATGTTTGACATGGAACAAGGTGGGGGCTGTCCCAGCTCTGTCCTTTCCAGAGGAGCGGGGTGGGTGGCACGCAAGGCTGTGCTTTGGGGCTCTGCCGCCCTTGCAGAGCACAGAGCTCTGATCTGTTGAGTCCTTGGATCGCTGGTGCCTTGAGCCCAGCCTAGAGGAAAGCCTGCAGTCAAGATTTAACAAGTCAAGGCAGCATGGCCCCGAGGCAGCTGGGTTCAACAGCTCCCTCCAGACGTGGTGGTGAGGAAGCTGACCCTGGTGTCATGGGGTTTTATTACCTCAAGGTGCAGCAGCAAAACTGCACTTCCACAAGCAAGTAGGAGGTCAGAGAGGCAGATGGTTTCCCAGGAGTGGATGGTCCTGCAATGCCCAGTCTATCCTGTCCTTCCCAGGTGGCTGGTTGAAGATGGAGCGTTCCTTCTACCTGAAGAAAAGGCGAGCAGACTTTGTGGCTGGCTACCTGAAAGGCAGAGTTGTGGTGGCTGGGGGACTAGGTGAGGCACTGGGGATGGTGGTGACACTTTAAAAGCATATGTGAGTCAGATGTTGTTATGGAGGGGATTGATCCTGTCCCTGGCTGGCCTGAGGGAGCAGGGAGAACAGACCCCATAAGGGGGAGGGGGTCCAGAGCACAGATATTATCCCAGAGCAGACAAGGGATGCTTGTTGGTGCTTCCCAGGTGATCCGGTGCCTTGCTTTGTACTTCCAGGAAACCAGCCGACTGTCCTGGAGTCCGCAGAGGCCTTCCACCCTGAGAAGAACAAGTGGGAGAGCCTGCCGCCCATGCCCACCCCGCGCTGCGCCTGCTCCAGCATCGTGGTGCGGAACTGCCTGCTGGCTGTCGGCGGGGTGAGCCAGGGCCTGAGCAGTGCCGTGGAGGCACTGTGCCTCTCCGATTCCTAGCTGGCTCCTGCCCGGAGGAGGACCCTGCCCCTCGCTGCCTCCAGCAGCGCTGGTGGTGGTGCTGGGCACCTCCTGGCAGTGCTGAGGCTGGGTGAGCACCACCGGAGCTGCCCTGGGAGCCCCGCAGCTCGGCTCTGCTTGCTGGTAGCTGAACGCAGCCTTGCTCAGGAGCTGTGGCTGGCAGGAGCCTGCAGCCAGGGCTGCTGTTCCTCTGCTGCTGCCCCGTGGAGGGAAGGAGCACTTTGGCCAGGGGTCCCTTCTGATCATCTTCAATGCTCTGTGGGGAAACCCAGATGAAGGAACTGCTTGCAGCACTGTGGTGCCACATCTCCTGCTAGCAGGAAGGACGCTGGAGATCAGGGATGGGTAAGCACCTCCCTGCAGCCATCCTGACCCACTACCAAAGGTGATGGGTTCGGAGGTGGTAGGACTATCCAGACAGGTCAGTGGTGGTTCAGGGAGAACTGTTGTGATGTTGCCCTCTTTGAGCACCCTGGAATCTATGTGTGCTTCCCTGCACAGATCCCCTTGGCTTGCAATGAGGAAAACTCCCAACCTGCAGCCGTATCCAGGGGATTGTTCTTTTGCCTTCATAGCAAGGCTGCTCCTGCAAACCTGTAGCATTTGACTGTCGCTTTGGCAGAAGCTGGAGCGAGGGGCTGCCAAGGCTCCTGGGAAGGATGAATGCCCAAAAGACTGTTTTAGCTAGAGGGAAGACCTTACTTCTGGCACAGGACTAGCACAGATACTGTCTTTGCTGGGTTCACGCAGAGATGGCCTCAACCTACGCTGCCCCAACCTGTTTCTTTAGCTCCTTTAGTGATTTGGGATCTTCTGTTCAGCCCTGGGAGAAAGGAGCAAAAGTGAGCCCTGCCTCTGATTCCGAGTGCTCTCACCACGGGGCCGGGCAGCGGCGTTGGCCATCGCTGCCTTGTTCTTCCCAGGCGGTTCACGGGAATTGTCAGGTTACAGTTCTAGCTTGTAGCAGTTGCACCATTAAAAGCTGTCTTCAGAAGAGCCCTCAGCGAAGCCTGGGCTGTGCTGTGGGCTGGGGCTGTATGAAAAGGTGTGGGACCCACTGA